ACGCCACAGACAAGATGACATCATGGTCTACTCAGACGGTTCCGGATTCGACGGCCAAATAGGAGCAGCGGCGGTCATGTACCGCAACGGGAGATTGACAAAACATCTCCAATACCACCTTGGCCCGATCACAGAACACACGGTATACGAAGGAGAGCTTATCGGCATCCTCCTAGCCCTCGAACTCTTAAAGACCATCCGAGCCCGTAGACCTAAAGTCCACATAAACCTGGACAACCAAGCGGCCATCATCTCCACCCTCACCAATCGTCCCCAACCGGCCCACCACATCCTAGACGAGATCATCACTACCATCGATGATATACAGAGAAGCGAAGCTACCCGGCACACGACCCGGTCCCTCGACAAGCGCACCCCTATAGCGATGACCATTAACTGGGTACCCGGCCACTTAGGTATCCCAGGAAACGTCGAAGCAGACACCCGAGCCAAAAACGCTGCACAGGGACATTCCAGCGACCCACAAGAGCTTCCTAGGAAACTCAGAGTTCCTCTCCCCATTAGCGTATCAGCACTCCGGCAAGAGCTACGAACAGAAGTCAAGAGACGTTGGAAAAATCAATGGGCAAGATCCCAAAGATTCACTCGCCTAAACAACATTGACAAGTCGTTGCCATCCTCACGGTTTCGCAAATTGATACAAGGTCTTAGCAGAGCAGAGACGAGCATTATCACACAGTTACGTACCAACCATCTTCCTCTCAATGGCTATCTGCACCGCATCAAGAAAAATGACCACCCGTACTGTAGACACTGCCAAGGCGAAACGATAGAAAATATCAGCCACTATATATTCATATGCCCCGCCTATGCGACGGCACGCAGTACACTCGAACGCAAACTAGGCCGCAAAGCACAGAGGCTCAGCACCCTCCTAGCTGATGCAAAAACTATCAAAGTCACGTTAGACTTCATCAAGGCAACGAACCGTTTCTACAATTACCTACGAAGAAGCAACAAGAAGAATGCGAACCATGATACCACGTCACATAGGGCCGCTGGCGTCTAGATACGGTTCAAGACCAGCAGAAGACTACGATGTTACGAAATTATTCGCTATCTTGCCAAACGAAGTCACAACTTTCACCAGCCCCTTATTTTCAGGCCAAGTGCCTCCTACCCTTGCATCGTACACCTGTCACACCCAATGACCGTCCAATTCCGTCCCATCGAATAGTTAATAGTCACGTAGTTAATGTGTAAATATAGCACGGCTCTAGCACAATAAATATTATCCAAAAAAAAAAAAAAAAAAAATCCTGGACTTGCCGGGTTAATAATCTCCACAAAGACAGAGTATACAGAGGATTGGATGGGAGATGCTTGCCTAGATCACTTTGGGAAAAATAGGCAAATACTGTAATCTTATTTGAAGCCTCATCCTAATAACAAGATAATTGCTATATTAATCGTGTGCCCATGCGGTCGACCGGTCGATGTGGCAAAATGACGGTACCGAGACTTGGATTCGGTCGACCCCGCACCCGTGTTGTCTTGCTTGCCCTTCGCCAAAGCTGCACGAACGCCATAATTCACTCTGTGAAACATTAAACCCCTAGATATATTCATAGGGTCGAGGAAGAATTGTTGACAATATTTCGTTCGATGATGGCTTTGCTTGCGGACATACCATATGACATTCTTCAGAATATCTTTGAACTACTGGACAAGGATACCCTGCTGGATGCGGCTCTCGCTAGTCAAAAGCTCAATGAGCTAGCTTCCTGGTCTCTATACAGGCGTATTGTGATAAACCCTGACCGATATTACCCAGATATATACCACCGCGGGAGAAGAAATTCGTTTTCAAGGATTCATGATGGAAAAAATTCATCTCTTGTCTTTAAAAGACGGCCACATCTCAGCAACGCAGTAAAGGAAATTTCCTTATATAGCCCTGGTGAGTCGTCGTGACCCTTTATCCAGCTGGGACAACGGTTCATTGGTCTATTTAGCATCTACTATATCGCTGTCAGAATTCCTCTCTTTTATAGAGGAGATTAAACTTTTCACAAACACGAGGTCTATGGAAATCATCGGAGGGTTCATTCCGAGAGAACTAGCTCTTCTTTTACCTGCAATACTTGCACTTCCTCACTTGAATACGCTTGTACTATTTGACGCACCCGAAGTTCTTAAATATCTAGACTATGATTCAGCTCGACACCTCACCATCCATACGTCTCTATATGCTCTCAACACCGTGGAATCTTCTCCATTCACTTATTCTACTGCTATACTTTCTTTTGGCTGGGGGTGGTCTGGTTCTGATGTTGTAAGTCAATACTTTCCTCACCCAAAGACTTTCTGACGCCAAATTGGGAAACTTAAGATGCTGTTACGGAATAATCACGCGGCTTTCACCTCTTTGCACACAATAATATTGACACATGACAATCCCATTGACCCTGGTTCAATTTGTGAACTTGTATCGCCATTAAAGCGGCTTCAGAGACTTGAGTTTGTGTGTCCCCCCCATGACGAGAAGGTACGGCTTCCTTCCCCCATGATTATGATGTTCTCATTACTTTTTATCTAGGACTATAGGGCTTTATGCTCTCCTGTCGAGTTGACACGTCTGAAAGACCTCCGGATACATTTCAAATCCATCAACTCGCGAGTTTTCTCAGAGAGACTGGAGCTCCTTGTGCGTTGCATTGCAGGGAAATCCCGCTTAGAGAGGCTCGACATCAAGTCTAAGGCTAAAAGCATCAGCTCAGTCGGTATCAGAGGAACGGAATTCTTCAAGCTTATCCTCAATGGTCATGTTGAAACTCTCCGAACACTTAAAATACCAAGTATTCATCCATCCAAATCTACATTGCAGCAACTAGTGACCAAAAGTACGCGCCTATCAACACTTTGGATAGGAGGTGGTCAGCACATCATGGTATGATATTATTTTCTACTAAAAGGTGTCGGTTTTTTATCTCATATAAATCATTAGACATGTCTCTATGATCTTTTGCCATTATCTGCGTCCTTGGTCACCCTCCGAATCCATCTCTGGGAAAGCTACTATTTCCCCCAAGAGCGATCCTTACTGCATCAGAATGTTTCCAGCCTTCAAGTATTCAAAGCCTGCATCGTAAGTATCACATATATCGATAGATATTGATCTAATAGCAATCAGTTGAGTCCGTTTGGACAAATGGAAAAAACTACGTGGAAGGTATAGTGACCCATAGATTCTATCAACCATCTAACCAATTCCTCAAGGTATTGTGGGCGTATAACGAACAAGAAGGCCGCGCAGTCCGCCAGATAGTATCCAAATCATCATCCGATGAATCTCGTAGGGTAGAGGTGACGAACTGGGTGAACTCACGCATCCTCCTCCGAGAAGATGAGTATAGACGCGGCGAGGGCTATTGGTATTCGAGAGCGCGATGGGGCTATATGGCAACTTGGATAGCTAATTTTGGCTCAGAATCCTCTTCCGACTCGGACACCCAGAAAAATGGCCATCAGCCTGTACTGTCCACGGAGGCAAATAAGGAAATAAAGGAGTGGCCGGAAGCCGATGACATGTCCGCCTTCTTGAATCAATGATAGTGTCAAGAAAGCAAGAACGCACTGTCGGGAGATGATCCGGAGTTACAAATCACGTGAACCTTGTGTGAGGCTTGGTTAGGGTCAAAATATCTGTAGTTGCGTTCATGGTGAACTCATCCAACCCAAACTATAATTAACATATAAATGAATTATATAATTTAGACAGACAGTGTAGCTGGATCTTTTTGACAAATCAAGTTTATCTACATACTTGATCTGAGGTCAGCCCTAGTTCCTCTTCTCGACAGGTCCTGACGTCCCACAGTCAGATATCAAGAAGAACTTAGAGCTGATACAGCTGATACACAAGCCCACCCACGCCCCAAATCAATAGGACCTTTGGAGCCTGGTGACGAGGGCTCCAGGAGAATAGGGTTTGTGACTGTTTCATTATCATAAAAGAATTTTTTAACCTCATAAATTACGTGATAAGTGTTTTTATCGCGCAGAATAGGATCCTATGGTACACACTAGTCCATACTTGAAACAAACAGCGACAGTGAAATTGTATCACGAATAAAACCGCAACCTACTGTACAAATTATCCAATTAGTGGGAATTCACAGCTGCTATCCAACTGTGGAGAGGATACACAGGTCAAGATGACTAGAAATGAAACCCTGAATAAATGGGTACAAACGTATATTCTCAGTGGTAGGCTATACGGATTCTCAAGTCTTCGAAATCAACTTTATTCAACGTTGACACGACTTTTTGTGTTCCGATTTCCGGTTCGGCTGTCGGCGGCAACAGCGGCGACTAGGTTCATAAGAGGAAGGACAACCTGAGCCCATTGTCAAAGCTTGGTTTACACCTCCCTCCTCTTTGGGCCAACTACAAACATGTCCGGAAAGGGAAAGAAGAAAGCCAAAACCATAAAATTAAGCACCAACAAGTCAAGTTCAGATCCCGACCAGACCAAGGACTCTGCGGCAAACAAAACCCAGGCCGAGCCTGACAGAACGAAATATCAAGAAACAACGGATGGATTTATTCTGGGCTTCAACATTGTCAGAGAGATCTCGGAAGCTACTGGCCTACTCGCACCATTGAAGGCAACATGTCTACTCATCGGACGAGGCCTTGAGACCACTAGAGTAAGATTATCACCATTTATCATTACTCGACCACTCTTCCTTATCGATTGAACTAGAAAATTAATAATAATAAAAGGTCTTGGTAGCCTTTTGTATGGCAGGAGCCAAACTACGTTGATGAGTTGCCATGTCTTTGGATAAAATGGCACAAAAGGCCGTGAGACTGGATGCAGCATTTGACGTGTTTGTGAAGAAGAAGCGACCGCCTAGTCGCCTCCTCATAATCCATTCGTGAGCCATTGTTGCAGCGACTGTGCTCTTTCCAGTGCCAGGTGCGTCATTCAACCAGAATATCTGGGGCCCCACACAATCGCTGTTAGCCCAGTCCCGTATTTGGTTGAGAACAGCGGCTCGTGTGCCTTCCTG